GCGCCCAATCACCCAGACGCCCGGCGGGCCACGCCCAGGAAACGCCTGGAGTATAGGTGGTACTTTGCGGGTGCCTCCATGTAGCACATTTGGAAGTCACATGCATGCCTACATATAACTACGACAACCCATCGTATAACCCAGAAGAAAGTATCCCGGCAAAGCAACCTAAAAGCGATGTGTATAGGTCGAACACATCTACAACTACACACAACAAAACTGCACCTTGTTGCGGGGGCCAGGGGCGGCAATCATAATTCGATTTGGCGCGTCGGTCGGTCTGGGTGGACGGACATCGCCTCATGACCCACGATGGAAGGCGATGGTCGTGCCGACGACGTTGCGTGCCAAGCGTGGAAGCGATCACCACGTTGCACGGCGAGGCTTGGCGGCAGCCGCAAGAAAAATCATAACACGAAAAAGCGCTCACGCTCGGACGGGGCTTCCGGCACGAAGAAGAATTTGAAAACGCGGGGGATCGGATCGCGAATTTGCTGCTGGGGCATAGGCGGGGGGGGGGAATCGGGCTGCGCGACGTCGAGGCCCCCAGGCATACGGCTGGCGGCGCTGAGCCAAGGGATGCGGGATGTCGGTGGGGAGCGGCCCAGGGGGCGGGGCCTCGGCGATGGGCAGCGCGGGCAGCCGATGCTTCGCGAAAAGGGGACACGTACAGAACGGCACTTAGCGGCCGGGGCGCGGTACACGTCGGGGGCGCGAGTGGCGGCACCCGACATGCACCCCGCCCCGCTGGCTAGGTGTAGTTCTATAAGTGCTTCGTTTTGTGGGGATGTCTCCGGCGAAACCAGCACGTACAGAACTACACCTAGTGCCCGGCTAAGTGTAGTTCTGAACGCGCTGGATGTCTCGCGCGGGGCGAGCACGCACAGACCGGCACCTAGCGAAAGGGGCGGGGTACACGTCGGGTACGTCGTCGCGCCCCGCCCGCAGAGTCAGGAAGGCAAGGGCCGCTGAACCCCCTGCCGGCCTCCGGGCGGAGGTGTCTGAACTTCCCGGGGCTATCAGAAAGAATTCCAACTGCGGCCTCCGCCCACATCGCTCCCCCAATCAGAGTATCTCGCCTGGTCACTATGTTCACCATTCCCGCCCGCTGCTTTGCCCTCCCCCTCCCCCGTTTTTCCTCTACCTGCCGCCCTCCATTTCCCTGAGCGTTTCCTAGCTGCCCCTGGCTCCTGCGTGGCGGCGAACGCCCTCGACCCCCCGCAGCTGAAAGACTCACCTTGCGCCCATCCTCCAATCCACTCGTGAGGCGCAAGCCTTGGTTCCACACTGACAATGGCAAGACACGCCGAAGCCCCGGCAAATCCAACAGGCGCGATCGGCCCCCTCGAATGGCGGGCGAACCAATACGTAAGACGATGTCGCAAAAATAAGTTTGGAATTTCGGGATCCGCGCAAGAAGCTAATCCACTCGCCCAAAGTGTAGTTCTACGCCTGTCCGAATAGGCATATCTGGAAGCATCCCCCTTAAGATTCAGGTGGGAATCCAGTTGTAGAATTCTGCTGTTCTCGCAGTCGCAGTCGCATTCGCAATGAAAGTCGCAGTGGCAACGGCCTTAGGATCCAATGGAATCCAATCGAATCCTAAGGATTCCAAGGGATTCCTAAGCTTGCCTCGGCCTCAGCCTCAGCCTGCCTCGGCCTCAACCTCAGCCTCAGCCTGCCTCAGCCTCAGCCTCAGCCTGCCTCAGCCTCAGCCTGCATCAGCCTCAGCCTCAGCCTGCCTCAGCCGCAGCTTGCCTCAGCCTCAGCCACAGCCTCAGCCTCAGCCTCAGCCTGCCTCAGCTTCAGCCTCAGCCTCAGCCAGCCTCGGCCGCCAGCCTCAGCCTCAGCCTCTGCCTCGGCCTCAGCCTCAGCCTGCCTCGGCCTCAGCCTCAGCCTCAGCCTGCCTCAGCCTCAGCCTCAGCCTGCCTCAGCCTCAGCCTGCATCAGCCTCAGCCTCAGCCTGCCTCAGCCGCAGCTTGCCTCAGCCTCAGCCACAGCCTCAGCTTCAGCCTCAGCCTGCCTCAGCTTCAGCCTCAGCCTCAGCCTGCCTCGGCCGCAGCCTCAGCCTCAGCCTCAGCCTGCCTCGGCCTCAGCCTCAGCCTGCCTCAGCCTCAGCGTCAGCCTCTCAGCCCCAGCCTGCATCAGCCTCAGCCTCAGCCTCAGCCCTCAGCCTCAGCCTGCCTCAGCCTCAGCCTGCCTCGGCCTCAGCCTCAGCCTGCCTCAGCCTCAGCCTGCCTCAGCCTCAGCAACTGCCTCAGCCTCAGCCTCAGCCTGCCTCCGCTTCAGCCTCAGCCTCAGCCTGCCTCGGCTTGCCTCAGCCTCAGCTGCCTCAGCCTCAGCCTCAGCCTGCCTCAGTCTTAGCCTGCCTCAGCCTCAGCCTCAGCCTGCCTCAGCCGCAGCTTGCCTCAGCCTCAGCCACTGCCTCAGCCTCAGCCTCAGCCTGCCTCAGCTTCAGTCTCAGCCTCAGCCTGCCTCGGCTTGCCTCAGCCTCAGCCTCAGCCTGCCTCGGCCTCAGCCTCAGCCTCAGCCTGCCTCGGCCTCAGCGTCAGCCTCTCAGCCTCAGCCTGCATCAGCCTCAGCCTCAGCCTCAGCCTGCCTCAGCCTCAGCCTGCCTCAGCCTCAGCCTCAGCCTGCCTCAGCCTCAGCCTCAGCCTGCTTCAGCCTCAGCCTCAGTCTGCCTTCAGCCTCGGCCTCAGCCTCAGCCTTCCTCAGCCTCAGCCTGCATCAGCCTCAGCCTCAGCCTCAGCCTGCCTCAGCCTAGGCATCCTCGGCTTGCTCTCGGCCCTCACCTCAGCTGCCTCGGGCCCTCCACAGCCTAAGCCTCCAGCCTGCCTCAGCTCTCAGCCTATGCATCAGCCTCACCTCAGCCTCAGCTGCCTCAGCCGCAGCTTGCCTCAGCCTCAGCCACAGCCTCAGCCTCACCTCAAGCCTCGCAGCTTCAGCCATCAGCCTCTAGCCTCAGCCTGCCTCGGCTTGCATCAGCCTCAGCCTCAGCCTGCCTCTAGCCTCGCGTCAAGCCTCTCAGCCTCAGCTGCCTCAGCCTCAGCCACAGCCTCAGCCTTTCCTCAGCCGTCTAGTCTCAGCCTGCCTCAGCCTCAGAGCCTGCATCAGTCAGCCTGCCTCAGCTCAACTTCAGCCGCCTCGGCCCTCATCCTGCGTCAGCCTCAGCCTCAGCCTGCCTCAGCCTGAACCTGCCTCAGCCTCAGCCTCAGCTTGCCTCGGCGTGCCTCAGCCTCAGCCTCAGCCTGCCTCGGCCTCAGCCAGCCTGGGCCTCAGCTTGCCTCAGCTCGGGCATTCAAAATATGGCAGAGGACTGGTGTTCTGGGAACACGAAGATCACGAAGTGGCCGATAGTTGGCTCCGGGCAATCAAAATGTGGCCTGGGAGTGTGTTCTGGGAAGACGAAGATCACGAAGTGGCCTACAGTTGGCTCCGGGCATTCAAAATGTGGCCTGGGAATGGTGTTTTGGGAACACGAAGAACACGAAGTGGCCTACAGTTGGCTCCGGGCATTTAAAATGTGGCCTGGGAATGGTGTTCTGGGATCACGAAGAACACGGAGTGGCCTACAGTTGGTTGGCTCCGGGCATTCAAAGTGTGGCCTGGGAATCGTGTTCTGGGAAGACGAAAAACACGAAGAGGCCAAAAGTTGGCTCCGGGCATTCAAAATGTGGCCTGGGAACGGTGTTCTGGAAAAGACGAAGAACGCGAAGTGGCCCAGAGTTGGCTCCAGGCAATCAAAATGTGGCCTGGGAGTTGTGTTTTGGGAATGGACTCCTGAGGATTCCTAAAAATTCCTGAGGATTTCTAAGGGTTCCTGGGGCTGCCGGATCTGCAGGATCCTTTGTCCGGTTCCCGCCGAGACCCCCTCTGGGGCGTCAAGATGCTCTCTTTTGAGCCCACTAGAAGCCTATCAGCAAGAGCTGTTAGGTAACTAAGAATTTGCAGTTCTGTCGCCAGTCGCAAACACATACAAATCAATTGGCAATTTGCTAGGTCATTTGTAAATGGTTTAGCTAGGGTGGTGTTCTGATGATACGAAAGGATCGGCGAATGTAAGAAGAACGCTCGCGCAACAAAAAAACAGTACAGATACAATGGGCCGTCTGTAGATTTAGGTACGACTTAACTTGATTTAACATGCAAGGGGCCAAACAATCTATGACGAAGGAAAGGGTACCAATGAAATTGAGGGGCGCTGATTTCGCGCAGGCTCACCAGGGCGCAGTTATGGCAGGTGTCGCGATCAATTTAGCAATCGTTTGAACATGGCCGTCTCCCGGTCACAATTTCTTGACGCGTGCTTGGATTTGGTATTTTGCTAGTGTCCTCCCCCTCCCCTTCCTCACCTCGATTGTTTCCGGCTCAAAAATCGGCTTGTTGAACATGTCCCCAAAGAAAAGACTCAGAGTCGAAGTATAGGGAATCACCTCACGGTTTCGAAGGCTGAGTTGCCCCGTATTTTAGAAGAGGCATCCCGTGACAACCATGAACCAAATGTCTTGCCTCTGGAGACGCCGTTTGGACACCTTATCGAGTGCTCTGCGCTGGCAATGAAAGATGGCAGCGAGGTTTGGTTTCACTATA